GTCCATACACTTTTTCTGGGAGTATTTTAGATATGGCAGGAGAACGAGAAACTGTTCCCAATTATTTTTTAGTTTGTTCTAACTAATTAAAACTTTAACTTTTTCAGTTCCTCTGATTACCGTGGCTTGGGCAAACGCCAGCATTAAAAATCTCTTTCACTTCGCGTCACTTTCTCGTCTGCGACTTATGCTAAGATTTTCTTATTCATAGAAAAGAAAAGCGAAATCGCGTTCCTTTTGGAGAAAGATAAAGCAAAACGTTTGCGCAAATCCTTTGCACAAATACTAATAAGCGGGTATTTAAGTGCAAAGCTGCCAAGAAGTGGTCGAGTGATTGGGTGAAAAGGATGAGAAGGATGGTTGGCGGATGATGAAGCGCGATATTTGAGGTTTGCATACTTTTGTGCGCCAGGCAGAACGCTTCGTTGCCTCTGATAGTTTGTTTTACAAATGTGGCAAGTAACCAATGCAAGCTCAGGGACCTGCCACACGAACACAAGCACATGCACAGACCGTCCTCTAATAACATGCAAATGATGTGAAAATGTGCAGAGAAAAACGTAAGGCGAGGAAAGTGGCAAATCCCACTTACATTTTCCACAAACGTTGCATTTTCGCCTTCATTCTGGCACTTTGTGTGTGTGTGTGTGTGTGTGTATGTGTACGCGACACTTTCAATATTTTTCAAGCGCAAATAGTAGATGTGCTGACTGCCCTCCTTTTCCATTCGCACCCACACCCACACCCACAACCACAGCCCAGGCATTCACACTCCGGCAAGTGATGAGCCGCACACTGATTATATAGTCATGATTGAGTATTTGCAATGGGCCCGGCTGCAGCGGGGGCAGTGATGGGGACGGGGGATTGGGATGGTGCTGTGATGCAGCAGACCCAGAAATTGTCCGCATTCACAGAGTATGCCATCATGAATACGTACTGGAAAATGGTCAAAATGGACGCACCCTAATGTTTTTCGTAGCTACGCATACAAGAACGAATTCTAGTTATTCTTAAGCTCAGATACATCTTCTTGCAATGCTCAAAACTAAATATATGTAAAGGGTGGAAAGGCAACTAGATACAAAGTTACTGTTTAGAACGACAGCTACTTGTTGATTAGAGCTTAAAGATTGCAGAAAATACTTTTCATTTCAAGTTAATCATGACAATAAAAGAAGTATTAATAAGAGTATTCATTAATATGTGGAAAATCAATATATATCACGTGTTTCAAAATTTGTATATATTATATTTTTGCTCTGGTTGCAAACTTTCCAAAGTGATCTTCACAATTAAATTGATTAAATTCAGAAATAGCGTAGGTAAAATATTATTATTAATCTGGTATCCGGCTCTGCAGACGTAATTAAAGGCAATGTTGTATTAAAAATACAATAACTTCACTTTATTTTATTAAAATGATATACAAGTGCACAAATAATTCGAAGTTATTTTAAAATATAATGTCCCTTTACTATTCATCTGTAAAAGACAAAGCCTATGTTCCGTCAATATTATTCATCCTATTAAAGAATATTCTAATGTATATTTTTATGAAAACGATCACGAGAACAAGAAATACAAATGCGCTCAGAAATGGAACTGAGTTTTTCATTTCTTTCATTTGTTTTTCAAACTTTACTTGACATTACAATTCTAATGGGCAGCTAGAAGCATGAAAATGTCAACTTTGAAAAAAGTTGTTAATTTATAAAGATGTGCATAGTTCTAGAATTGTCTTTTATAACGTATTATGTATATTCTTAGTTGCCGTATCTAACTGCTTTATTCAGCTACAGTCGGTCTTAAAAAAGTTAAATGTCTCTCTTTTGTAAAAAAAATATGACTTATAAATTAAGTCACTCAGACTGAATGATGTTTGAAAATGAGTTAAAAAAGACACACGACCATAACTTGATCATCGAGACAACCATGTCAGCTAGAGCTGCTGACCAGGCCCAAAATGAAAAACAAAATTGTAACTGCAATTGCTGGCCGACAAATTGCCGCAATTTAACGGCAAAGAAAAACCGCAGGTGGCAAATCAAATGCGCATTGCCAAAACAGCAGCAAAATAATATTAGAGGAAAAATCAAATTCGATTTGCATTTGGGAATAAATCGGTGACCCACTTAAGGAGTTGCTTGCACATTATCCAAACACACACACTAGTTGGGTAAGTTGCATGTTTGTTTAATTTAAAAGACTCCTTTGAAAATGTTGTTCAATTAATTAGGCGCCAGCACACGCTTTTTAAAGCTGGATATCTTACAATCACATAAATATTATAGTATCCTTTATGGGCTTTGTGTCTTATAGCACTTGTCACTTAGAAATGTTTATTAGAACTGATCAGATCACCACTCTCCTTCCTCACACAATCGGCTTTGGCGCGCAACTGAAGTTCAAAAGTGAGGCTCTGTCTATGCAAAGCAACAGCAGCGACAAAAATGTCGCGCTGTCGCGCCAAATCGTACATGTGTCTACCTACATACTCGTAGTATATACATACAAGTATGTATGCATGACTTGAAACGATACATAAATGTAATTAAATATAAGCATACGCTTACAATATATCCAACAATACAGACACAACAAGCTTCAGTACAAAATTGCTGATCCCCACAAAACAAAACATACACTCGGAGATGTTGTTGTTGTTGCTGCCGTTACTGTGCATATTGAAATTGTAGATCGGAAAATGGAACAAGCTTGTGCCCGACTCGCCTTCGCCTTCGCCTTGGTTGCATAAGTCGTGCCTCGAAGTCTTCAGAACCGAGACAGGGCGAAGCGATCGAAAAATGCCGGGCTCAGCAAATCGGCAAACGCCAGCCAGCAGCTTCAAGCGCACTACAATACGGGTATGTCGCGCTAAGCGTGTGAATCCGACTTATATAACTTTAGCAGAGCAAGTTGGAGTTACACACAAAAACCAGTGCATATCTACCCATTATCACAGTCGAGATATAGCAATAGAAACTCAAGCGATAAAGACAGCAACAATTCTCGAATGCATGACAATCAATGATTCGGATCTCTTTTGCACACATAAATAAATGGATAAATTAAATTACATTCAATTAAATAAAAATCATTGCCAAAACTTGTTTTCTATTCACAAACATGTCACTTGTTGCACGTGTGAATTCCATTTGTGTTTGAAATTTGCGTTGTATACAAATTGATTATTATTATAATTTAAATTTACAAAAATCTATTGAATATTACAGATAAGCAGTCTAAAAAGCCTACAAAAACATCAGAGTTTAGAAATAGCTTCAATCTCAAAAAGTATCATTAACTTCAATAGAAACACGATTTCTCAAAATAAACTGCGCCAAAAAAAACAAATTAAGGCAAAGATTAAATGCTGAGACTTAACTATTTCTTCAAAAATATATTGTACAGCATTTTGATTTTGTTTTCTAACTTATAAGAAACCGTTTTACGTGGCTCAAAACACATTCTTTGCAGACCAAATGCAATATAAAACTACATGGAGCATTACTTTTTCAAACTGCCTTCCAAAACAATACTGTTTTTTTTTTTTTTTTATAATCGAGTTTTTTTTATAAATACAGTAAAAATATGAATTAAAAGGTAAAACGAATTCGCCGAATCTGCTTAGTCAGATTTTTATCAACAATTTCTGATTGACATTTAAGTTTAAGCTAAGTTAAGCCTTCAGGTAGTTGCTTTAACGGAGTCGTGTCTGGTCTTATAAAAGGTGCTTCAACGAATTTGAGAATATTATCTAATCCAGCCGTTCCACCGACTAATTCTTCATGGAATTCCGACGACATTTTGACGCGGCGATTTTCTCACGTCGACCGAAGCGTTGCCGCTGCTGCTTCCTGTGCTTTACATTTTAAAGCTGTAATCCAAAACGTTGTCAAGTTAAGGAATTTGTCCATGTTTGCGCAAATACGTAACTAGACAGAAACAAAAACCAACAGCAATAGCAACAACAACAACAACAACAAAAATGAAATAAAAGTAGCAGCTTTGCTGTGCTTTGCCTTCCTTGCACAAACATTTTGGTGCTGCCTCGTTTGTTAATGAGCCTGTCCGTGGCCTTTTTATTGCTTGCCAAGTTTGTAAAAGCGGGGCTCTCGACATCAACTTCGTCCTTACGCAGCCAGCCCCTAGCTCCTGATTGCCAATGCAGCTGGTCCTGCTGTGCCTGCTGTTCCTGCTGTCGTTGATGTGCTTGTTGATGTTGATGAGAGCTACGTGTGCTGCATGCTAGGATATCGCCTCCAACAAGGACCCTATCACTCATCCCACACGTATGACATACATATACATATGTACATATATACGCACACACGCACGCACACACGCACTTTCGAGCAGTTGGCAAGTGGCGTCTTCTGCGTAGCGCACTTTTAGGCGTCTGTTTATATTCACATATATGTATGTATATAAATACTTCATACTATTTGTAGAGATTTTATGTATCACTCACGCCCACAAACTGCTCGCGACCTACGACTTCGTAATATAAACGATTCTTATCAGCAACGTTTTAAAGCTGGGAAAATATTATTATATTAGTCTGTGTCCAGTTGCGTATTTTTTGCAGGACTTTTCTTTATTTCCACAATTTCTTATTCGAATATGCATAAGAATGCATATGTGTACAGCTATATCTTTTAAATACATCACGTTAACCAACCAATTGGGCAAAAAGGGAGTGCAAAATGGATTTACAAACTATACAATTAAATGGCCATAGTTATTATATTCACGCAGTTGCTTAACAAGCTAGTTAGCTTAAGCAAGATTTTCATTTCCAGTAACAAAATATATGTATAATAAATGTGTTGATTTTGGTAAATAGCCAGCCACATACAGCGATTCGCCCTTAGTTTTCTTTGTTCTCTTGTGTACTACACTTGTAAACAACCATTTTGGGGAGCAGGACGGCGAATTCTTCTTGGAGGGGTTTAAGCATCGCTGGGACTATGACAGAAAACTATGTTAACAATTAAAGAACAAACTGTTTTTTTTTTTAATATTTATATTATTGTTAGGCTTGAAACAGATCGCACTGACCTCGTATATTACATGAATGTACGCACATACAAACGGTTAAAACAGTTTCGGGCTACGCTTATAAATTGACTTATATCTAATAAAACTGAGTGTGCTTGTGAGAAAGTTAACCACAAATCTAATTTGTGGCCAATTTTTTATGCCTCCGTGCTCTTTGTTGTTGTCGTGGGTGTCACCGTAGCCGTTGTCGTCGTCGTTGCCTGCAGCTTGATGACCTTTGGCTGGCTCTCCGGTTGTGTTTGTACTTGAGTGCCTCCCGTAACTGCTTTTGTTGTAACCGCTCCAATATTCACTACGCGGCGCAAGGTGCCGCCTGAGCCGCCGACACTAGCAGTGGTCACAGTGGTGCCCGCTGTTCGATTGGCCAGCATTTGCACGGGCACCTGCTTCAGTCCCGTGGCCGATTTGAAATATATATTTCGAATTTGTTGCTTGCCATCCCCAGAGATCGACGGAGTTCCAGTTACACTGTTGATTACTTGAAATTGCGGATAACTCTTGTTGCCCAGACTGACGCTGCCTGTGTGCCGCAGTGTGCCTGGTGGAGTGCCGGTGGCTCCAACTGCGGTACTCCCTTTGGGGCTGCTCAACAAAATCTTCGTGTATGGCTGTAATGTGCCTGCACTTGTAGCGCCACTAGGCAGTCGTGCCGTAACTACGCCACCCATAGGCTTGATCGAACTACGATTGAGATAGACGACTTTGTTGCCACCGCCACTGGTGGTGTTGCCACTGAAAAGCTGCTGCAGACCTTTATTCAGCATTATGGTGCTGCCTTTGGCGGTGCTTACAATACTAGTGGGCGCTGTCTTGGTCAATGTGCCAGTTGACGTTGGTTGATTACCCTCCTTGATGATCTTCTGGCTAATTATGAGTTGGCCCACATTGTTGGTGGAAGCTGGAAGAAAATGTTATATTAATATTGCGAATAGCGCAAGAACAGGCTTGCAACTTACCACTCTTGGTCACTGGGGGCTGTTGTTCCTGTTGCTCGGCTATGTTACCATCATTGTCAGCAAAAACAATGGGCATATCAATGATGTTAGACAAGTCCATTCCGCTGGATACTGCGTTGGCAACTGCCGTCGTTGCTGGCACATTCTTGGTCAGTTGCAATGTGGTGGTGCCATTGGGGTTCTTAACCACCGTGTATTTTTGTTGAGCCGCCGGTGAGGCCGCAGTAACAAAGTGAGTTGTCTGGCCTATGGGTGTTTTCAGTGTAAAAATCTGTTGCCCACTGGCGGATGATGGCAAGGTCTTGACAATACTTCCAATGCTATTTCCTGTGGTGACGGCAGATCCCTTATTGATGGTATAGTTGATAAGCTTGTTCTGCGTTGGCATAGACTTTAGCTGCACAAACTGGTTAGATGATATCATCTTAATTTTGGTGCCTGCCGCTAGTGGCACTGTATTCTTTGGGGTTGTCGTGCTAGCAGACGAGGGGGCGACTCCGACTGTGTTGCTGGGTATGGGCTTAGACATCGAAACGTTGCCTTTCGCGGCGTCGCCCATTGTTACGTCTTCATAGTCCAAGTTTTCATCCAGTATGGACTCCATCGACATGTTAAGATCCTCATTGGAATGTGCTTGTTTGCCTGTCGCTGTAATTCCGCCCTTGCCACCTGGCACAATGTTGGGCAAAGGCCGGGTGCGTGGCCGCCCAACTGTGGAGGGAAAGACTGTTAGTCGTTGAAAAGGGGCACATAAATGATTGAAAATGAATTTTTATGATAACCAGAGAAGAGCTCGTGACAAGACTGAGTGAGAATTAGTGAAAGCGAACAAGCGTACTTGTAGTGCGCCTATATACATAAAAAAAATGTGAAGAAATAAGGAAGTCTATTCAAACAACACTTTAAATTATAAATAAGAATCACAAAAAAAGTATTGTAAATAGAATGATTAACTTAATAAAAAGCAGGTTAGAGTGCAAATTGCAGAACATTTAAAATATCTCAAAACATATTACATATATACACACAAACTTGTGTGCAATAAATAAATACTATACTATGCCCAAATTGGAAGAAGATTCCTTTCAAAAATTATTTTTTTTTTAAACTACATACATAAATAGTAGACAAATAATAATAATTTGATTACATTTCAATAGTACAAATATATTGAGGTCTAACTACAATACACCAAAAAGTTAATTTTTCAGAAGGGACTTTTCATTATGATTCTTCTTTTTCTTCTCTGTAACAATTAACAACACATTTGAAATATTTTTCGCGATGGTAACCCTGTTCTTAATGGTTAAATGGTTGTTATTAATTTTGAAGAAAAGTCAAATTTGAAAAAAATACCTTTAAGGCCTGTTTTTTTTTTGGTTTTTTAAGTTTTCATATAAGCATTTTCAATTAACGGTATGTGAATTATTGGTTAATTGCTGTAATAATTGTCACGTTCCTTTTCCAATTGATACAATAGAAAGCATGCTTTTATTGGATTTACCCTTTCTTTTAACCGCAAATGGATCAATGAGTCGGGGTGCCTTTGGCTTGGAAACTCTGGGTGCACGTGATTCTATATTACATGCGGGAGGTAAGTTAAGATTAATGCAAAATTAAAAAGTTGTATACAAGGCATGCAAAGGAAGGATTAGAGCATGTGCGATGAGTATATGACATGAGTTGTTAGTAAAGAATAATCGGCAATCACAATGGCTAAGTTTCGACTTACTGTGTGGAACATGCTTGATTTTGGCTGACGTGTTGATATCTTCGAGGGTACCATCGTTCTTTCTTTTGCGGGACTGACCCAACGTTTTGTTGGCATTTCCATCCGCTTGAACAGTTTTCTGTTTATAATATGCGGCCGCTGGAGTCATTAATGAGATGGGCATTCGAGGACCTGGTGGATTGCTGAGAGTTTTGTTCACAAAGTCGAATAGTTCATCCTAAAGAATGAAACGCATTTAGAAATAATATGCCAGCAAGTACACATCGAATTTTTGCGCTAACTCACCACTACCATGGCATCCACCATAGCTTGCGTAACGCCTTCAATGCGCCGCTTGCTTTTTGGTACTCGCAAAGCATCGTCAGCACTTCCCACGACAACCAAGGTAGATTCCGACTGCATACGCTCGCGTAGCATTTCCATTTCCTCTTGGCTACTGCGAGCCGAATTTTGACCGATTATAAACAGAATGGGTGCCTTTATATCCAGCAAACGATCATCAGGTGCACCTCGTGGGCCACGAAGGGTATTATAGGCAAACCCCATGCAGATTACACACGCCACACTCTCTGACATGGCCACCTGAAGGGCCAGAGCTGCGCCAGCATTGAAACCGATCAGAATGATGCCCCGATTCGGATTCTCCGTGCGCAGCTCGTGAATACGCACGCGCGTTAGCGATACTATTGTCTCTGCCACTTGATCCAAATTCTGGCGTCCAATGCGATCATCTGAAGATTAATAAGGTAAACGGGGGGGTTTTAAAATGTAAGCGACTAAATCTGTGCAATAACTTACTCGAGTTGGGAAGTGTAATTTGCACGACCTGTGTTATATTAGCCAAAGCCTTATACCACCTTTGCATGCGCTCCGGCACTTGGGTGGTGGTGGGCATACTGGGCAACACTACCATAATGGCATTGTGTGGCAGATGACGCGACTTGGGCATTATAACTGGATCCCATTTCTTTTTCATTACCGGTGCCAACAGCTCTTGGCTATTGTTGAGTGGTCGGCTAAAGAGCATTTTATCAGTAAGCGTGGGCAACTTGGTCTTCAAGGTTTGCATGATGTCCAAATATGAGGCCATATATGTTGGAGGCAGATTCTCCATGAGCAGCGCGTGCAACCACTGTGTGGTACGTGGCTCCCATGCAATGCTAGCGAGAGCGCGGCGCATACGAGAACTGGACTTATCCACCGTGACACGACGATGAATGGCCTCGTGTTGACGTTTCTCATTAGCAAGGCGTGCCAATTGATCCTGATCCAGAATTCGAGCAACCTTTTCAAAGAGTGACTTTTGCACGGCAGTCCAACCGATTCTGTGCAGATATTGAAAAGTACAGGGTTAGACAGATACAATATATATCTCATTTTACTTACTGATTAATACGCGCCTCCCAATCTTGTTCTTCAGAATTATTGTTTTTCACATATTTAGCAATATGGGCGCACTCGTTCATCATCTCCTTAGCAGCAATTTCATCATAGGGCGGCACATGTGCCTGTTGCGCCTCATGGGATTCTTCTTGCATAGGATATGTGTGACACGAAGGACACTGCGGCGGATGACGCACTAAAATGGTGCGAGCAGGCGCCAAACCACTGTTGTTTATATCCGTCCGAGCTGAATCGCGCAAGTAACTATGTTCCATTTTATCGCTAATAAAAGTGTCGCCGGGAACAGAAATGGTGCTTGACTAAAAAAGATAGAAAATATATATTTTTTTATTACAAACCTACACATTAGGGTAATATGCGATGTGATGAGTAAACAAGTGCCAAAGAGCTCATGCAAGTATGGTTAGTGCGCGTGCATTAAGCCTAAATTTCCTTATATTTAAATCATTACACTTTCTGTTGGAGAAGTTGTTGTTGGGGTAGCGGAAGCCCCTACTGCAGACGCTGAAGGTTTAGCATGCAGCTGCATTTTGGAAGTCGGCGATGACGAGGGCGAGGTTGGTACCGTAGCTGCAGTCGCCGCCGACACTGTGGCTGCGGAGCCCAATGATCCCGCTTTGACCACATAATACGATGAAGTTGTTGTGCTCGCCTTTGCCGTCGATAATTTATTTGTGTTGACTATTGCTGATTTTGTAATTTGTCTATTCTGTATTGAGTGTGTGTTGGTGTTGTGATGTGTGGGTGTTGTTGGTTTTTTTGTGTAAGAACCGCTGCCGACACTAACGCTGCTGCCTTGCACCAAAAATTTACTGGGACTGTATGTAATTATTGAAGAGGACTTTGGCCGTTTCTCAGCAGTACCAACACATCGTACAGTTGCACCGCTTTTATTCTGCGACGATTTGGCAGGCAACATTTTGTATTGCAATTTTTTGTGTGCAGTGTGTATGTAAATATGTATGTACTCCCTGCTAGTTTCTTCTTCTTCTACGCCGTAGTTTTTAACCGTATGCTAAATACTCTGGCCTTTGGTTTTATAGGGCAGGCTTTGTGAAGATAATAACACTACGTAAACTATAAAAAAGTTTTCTATATTTCGTGAATGTTTCCACCGTGTTTTATTGCTTTCAAATGGTTATTATTTGCAATTGGTTTTTCTTCGCCGTTTATAAGTATGGCGTGCGAGTTTTAGCGTTGCCAGTTTACTGTGCCCATCCAAGAATTATCGGCGCTTATGGCACCCCGCACATTATCCTATCGATAACAAACTGCGCTTGTCGCAGGTCCAAAATAAAAATAAACTTATTTCGCAATTCAACTAGAACGCGTTTCTCCTCTGAGCCCGCCAATTCATATTTAAACATACATTTGTAAGATTGATAGCGTGTACTTACAGATTCGCTTGGTGTGGGCGTTACGGGCTTCATTTCTTCTGCCCGTGAAGTATTCGCCGCTGAACGTGAAAGTTCGTCTCCTTCCCGTCGAGTACTATGTACAAAATTACTGAAGCAGTCAAAAAACGACGACATTTTACAACGTACATTTATATTTTTTCAATAAGATGAAATATTAAATAAAGGCGCACCGATTTGTCAAAAAAAAACATTAACAAATGGAAGAGAACGCAACCGAACTATTGTAAGATGTACGTCAAAGCAGATGATAAGTCAAAGAGTTGCCACACTGAACAATTGTTCCCTTTTTCAACACTGCAAAACAGCTGGCAGTGTCTTGGACGTGCGCGTTGCGTTCTGGCGAAAACGTTGGTCAATGAAATAAACTTTGTAATTTTACATTTTTACAATGGAGGAATTGCAGAAGCTCGAGTACCTATCGCTGGTATCAAAGATCTGCACAGAGCTGGACAACCATTTGGGCATCAACGACAAGGATTTGGCCGAATTTATTATAGATTTGGAAAACAAACACCGTACATATGATGCATTTCGGAAGGCTCTGTTGGAAAATGGAGCAGAGTTCCCAGATTCTTTGGTGCAGAACTTGCAACGCATAATCAATTTAATGCGGCCGAGCCGCGTAGGTGCCGATAATATCAAGGACGCATGCACCAGTGGCGACCTAAAAAATGACAAAAAATCGCAACTAATGAAAATGTTTCCTGGCCTCGCTTTGCCAAACGATAAATTTAGCCAGAACGCGGAAAGTGACGGTGAAGATGCTGTTAAGGATGACAGCGAATCCAAATGTAAATCGAATATTAAAAAGTCTGATATAAGCGATGTGGATGCGGCCATGTTAGAGTTAGAGGCCATGGCGCCTGGTGACAAGAAGCCGGTGAAAGACGAAAAGGACAGCCGACGAAAAAATCGCTCCAGCTCCAGAGAACGCCAAAAAGAAAGAGAGCGCGATCGACGACGGTCAAGGGATCGCAGCCGACGCTCTAGATCGCGAGAAGATCGGCGAAGACAACGCTCCCCTTCACGTGAGGATCGGCGAAGACAGCGGTCCTCTTCACGGGAGGTTCGCCGAAGGCGGCGATCCACTTCACGAGAGGATCGGCGAAGGCGGCGCTCATCTTCACGAGACCGACAGGAACGTCGCCGACGAAGCCGCTCAAGATCTGCAGAACGAAGCAGCAGCCGGCGACATGGTAGCCGTCGCTCTCGTAGTCACTCCAACGATCGGGGCAGTAATCGACGACACGAAAAGATGCCACCGCCTTCCGCTGTAATGGCAGATGATCCTGATGCGGGTAAAATCTATTCCGGAAAAGTAGCCAATATTGTTCCATTTGGCTGCTTTGTGCAGCTCTTCGGTTTACGCAAACGGTGGGAAGGATTGGTGCACATATCCCAGTTGCGGGCCGAGGGTCGTGTCACTGACGTCACAGAAGTAGTAAGTCGCAATCAAACGGTTAAAGTAAAGGTGATGTCCATCACTGGTCAGAAGGTCTCACTATCTATGAAAGAGGTTGATCAGGAAAGTGGTCGCGACTTAAATCCTTTGTCACACGTGCCCGACGACGATATCTCGTTAAAAGATCGCAACCCTGATGGACCTTTCAACAGCAGTACCTCGTTTCTTAATTTGCAAGGCAATAACATTGATGGCGATGAGCATGAGTCACGAAAGCGCGTTACGCGCATTTCCAGTCCTGAACGCTGGGAGATCAAGCAAATGATTAGCTCTGGAGTCCTAGATCGCAGTGAAATGCCCGATTTTGATGAGGAGACTGGCCTTCTGCCCAAGGATGAGGATGACGAAGCCGATATTGAGATTGAAATTGTGGAGGAGGAGCCACCATTTTTGGCCGGGCATGGTCGCGCCCTACACGATCTCTCTCCTGTGCGTATAGTTAAGAATCCTGACGGTTCGCTTGCACAGGCGGCCATGATGCAGTCGGCTTTGTCAAAGGAGCGACGTGAGCAGAAGATGTTGCAACGCGAACAGGAAATGGAAGCGATGCCCACAAGTCTCAACAAGAACTGGATAGATCCACTACCCGAAGATGATTCCGCCCGCCATCTGGCGGCCAATATGCGAGGCATGGGCGCAGCTCCACAAGAAGTGCCCGAATGGAAGAAGCACGTCATTGGTGGCAAGAAATCATCTTTTGGCAAAAAAACGGATTTAACTCTCGTCGAGCAACGCCAATCCCTTCCCATCTACAAGCTGCGTGATGATCTTATCAAGGCAGTAACAGATAATCAAATACTCATTGTCATTGGAGAGACAGGTTCCGGAAAGACGACGCAAATCACTCAGTATTTAGGGGAGTGTGGCCTCACAGCACGTGGCAAGATTGGATGTACACAACCACGTCGTGTGGCTGCCATGTCGGTGGCCAAACGAGTCGCTGATGAATATGGCTGCCGTTTGGGTCAGGAAGTGGGATATACGATACGTTTCGAGGATTGCACCAGCCCAGAGACGGTCATCAAATACATGACTGATGGTATGTTGTTGCGTGAATGCCTCATGGAGTCGGACCTAAAGACGTATTCGGTGATTATGTTGGACGAAGCACATGAACGCACCATACACACTGATGTCCTATTTGGGTTACTAAAAACGGCAGTCCAGAAGCGACCGGAATTAAAATTGATTGTCACCTCTGCAACCTTAGATGCAGTGAAGTTCTCACAGTATTTCTTTGAGGCCCCAATTTTCACAATACCCGGCCGCACATTTCCCGTCGAGGTGCTGTACACGAAGGAGCCAGAGACGGATTATTTGGATGCCTCGCTCATTACGGTTATGCAAATTCATTTGCGTGAACCGCCTGGCGATATTCTTCTCTTCCTTACCGGTCAGGAGGAGATTGACACCGCCTGTGAAATTTTATACGAGCGTATGAAGAGTTTAGGGCCGGATGTGCCCGAGCTAATTATATTGCCCGTCTACTCGGCGCTGCCATCGGAAATGCAGACCAGAATTTTTGACCCTGCTCCTGCAGGCAGTCGCAAAGTGGTGATAGCCACAAATATTGCTGAAACCTCGCTTACTATTGATGGTATTTTCTATGTGGTGGATCCGGGATTTGTTAAGCAGAAAGTGTACAACTCTAAAACAGGCATGGACTCGCTGGTGGTCACACCCATCTCTCAAGCGGCGGCCAAACAGCGTGCAGGACGAGCCGGTCGGACAGGGCCAGGCAAGTGCTATCGCCTCTATACGGAGCGAGCTTATCGTGATGAAATGCTTCCAACGCCTGTTCCTGAGATCCAACGCACAAACTTGGCCACAACGGTGTTACAACTAAAAACCATGGGCATTAATGATTTGCTCCATTTCGATTTCATGGATGCACCACCTGTGGAATCATTGGTCATGGCACTTGAGCAATTGCACTCTCTGTCCGCTCTTGATGATGAGGGTCTGTTAACGCGACTGGGTCGACGTATGGCAGAATTCCCTCTGGAGCCAAATCTCTCGAAGATGCTGATCATGTCCGTGGCGCTGCAATGCTCCGATGAGATACTGACCATAGTATCTATGCTCAGTGTACAGAATGTGTTCTACAGGCCGAAGGATAAGCAGGCGCTGGCTGATCAGAAAAAGGCAAAGTTCAATCAGGCAGAAGGTAAATATTTGTCGTTAATGATCCTTATTCATTTTCTAAATATTTATACCTTTCAGGTGATCATTTAACGTTGCTGGCCGTCTACAACAGCTGGAAGAACAACAAGTTCTCCAATGCCTGGTGCTATGAAAATTTTGTGCAAATACGCACGCTCAAACGGTCGCAGGATGTGCGGAAGCAGCTTCTTGGAATTATGGATCGCCATAAATTGGACGTGGTATCTGCTGGCAAGAATTCGGTGCGCATTCAGAAGGCCATCTGCTCAGGATTCTTTCGCAATGCTGCCAAAAAAGATCCTCAGGAGGGTTATCGCACATTGGTCGACTCGCAAGTGGTTTACATTCATCCATCGAGCGCGCTATTCAATCGCCAGCCTGAATGGGTCGTCTATCACGAACTGGTGCAAACAACCAAGGAGTATATGCGCGAGGTGACTACAATCGATCCCAAGTGGCTGGTTGAATTCGCTCCATCATTTTTCCGGTTCTCCGACCCCACCAAGCTGAGCAAATTCAAGAAGAATCAACGTCTGGAGCCGTTGTATAATAAATACGAGGAACCAAACGCTTGGCGTATATCGCGTGTGAGAAGACGCAGAAATTAGATCATATTTTACTTAGTTTTTGCATTTTGTATTTTAATCACTAGGTTATTAAAAGTAAGTTAAAAGTTATATATCCGGTATTTTGTGCTTAATAGCCTTTATGCCCGCGAAAACGTTGTCGATTGTCCAGCTGTGGGGAAGAAATTAGTTCAAGAAGACTACTTTTGATTCCATACATTTACCAGGGAACGTTTGCATTCATAAAAGGTGTTGCGAAGTACTTGGCACTCTGGGGGAACATTATTTTCCTGCAGGCACTGGCGCGGTGTCTTCTTGTCCAAGCGGCAACAATCACTCTCCAATAGGCACATTTTCAGATCGGCGCGAACACCTGCACATGCTGTTTCATCGGCCAGTTTTTCGTTGCCTTCATAACGCATCATTTTTGAAGCTATTTAAATTACTTATCACAATCCCACAAAATTGGTTACAAAATCAAGGGACAGAACAGCTGGCATTTGAAAGCATCACTAAAACGTATTTTGCAACACCATTTAAAGTGCTGTTATCGTTATGAAATTGTGCAACAGCTGTGAGTTGCATGGCCGGCAAGTACAAGCTTTATGCAACACTGCTCCAACTTGTTTTGCTTAAGGCAGCCGCACAAAGATATTGTTTATTAATTTAAATGATCCACCCAAACATTTGTGATTTATACATACACGATGGTCTATGATGAGCGCAGTGATGGCAGCAGTTCCAGCAGTGACGCCCAGGAAACCTATATGCGCAGTTCCAAAATTACAGCAGGGGCGGCGAACAACGTCAACTCGCCGCCCAGCATGCCAAAACATATTCCTTTTCCAGATCAATATGCAACCACTTCAGAGTGGGTAAGCGAGCTAATAATGTGCGCCTTTACGATGGGCGCAGCCATTATACAATTCATTAACATTTATCGCACAAACTGGTGGTTACCACAATCCTATACGCGGCACATGGTGGTAAGTAATACCCGGTGACCAAACTATAATATACCATAATAAAGGCCTTTTTCAGAACATGCAACTGATTGATCCCTATCTAAGATATCTTATTTTACTTGTAAATACGCGTCGCTTACTCTATTGTGTCCTGCTGCAAGCGCTGGCCAAATGGAAATGTGCTGAGCGTCAAAAGCGAATGTGGCGCCTTTGCATTAAGTACGCCTTTGGCGGTCTAGTTCAATTGGCCCTCTGTTTCTGTGTGCTTCGGCTATATCAGCAACACACCTATTTATTGCTCTTCTATCTCAGCTATCCGTGAGTAGCCAAAAATATTTTGCTTACCTCAACACTCATTTTATTATCCCGAAACGCTGTACATTCGTAATTATAACTTACAAAAACTTTCTTATTCAATATTTCCAACAAACTCCATTATCTCTCAATAATGCTCTTTCTAAGCAATAAAAGGTTAGCTTTGATTTAATTTTGAATCCGTTCTACTTGCAGTGTGCTGGTCTATTTGCTTATATTTGGTTTTGAACTGGAGCCATTTCTCCGCACCAAATTTGAGCTGCAAGGAGTTTATATCAATGATATGCCCGTCCACTGTTGTACTACAAATGCGGCTCAAATTCGGGATGAAATCGAAACGCTACGCCATGACTTTAACAAACGCTTTAAGCAACTTATTTTTACATCCATGTTGAATGGATATTATAGTGGCCTGGTGCCATGCTTTTTGGCTTTAAGCGTGCACTACAATGTACTGCGAGCAGCACAACATTGTGTGGCCGTTTGTCTCTGCGCCTTCAGCTTGTGTGCGGTATTCCTATATCCTGCTAAATATAGTGATACTTTGCATCGGGCAACCCTGCACTTGGGACACTGGCAGCGTTTAGATCGCGATCCACCTACACGTGTAGAGGGTGCAGCGCAGTTGATTACTGCGGCCAATGCTTTGACTTGGTCTAAATATGCCGTCTATGGAGCAAATACGGTGGTGAAGCATAATGGCGGAATTTATCGCAGTCAGGGTCTGGTTACCGTCGCTACGCCCGGTAATAGCAGTCACGTGCGTTTCTATGTAAGTTGTACTGTTCATAAAAACCGAAATTATTCAAAATTAAATATGTTTTCAAAATTCCGCAAAACAACAGTTTTAATCGGTTTCTAAATTAAATTATTGCAGCCAAACAGTCGAACTAATTGAACACTAATTTGTAAAATTTAAAATACTGTTATCGCTGTATTTGAAATAACATGCCATGCTTATGCACATTATTTATTTGCTTGATCATAGCATTTCTTTTATCTTTATGCTAATGCTGGTTTTTTTTTTTTTGCAGAAGCTCTTCCACAATCCCACTATCATATACTCTACGCTTGCCACCCTGCAGGCTGCCGTTTTGCTGGTGGAGATTGCCTCGCTAAGCTCAGCAAAGATTGAATGGCACTTTGTGCTCTCAATCAGTTTTGTAGCCTTCACTAGTCTAGGCGCCTTCTTCAAGCTTGTGCGCGATTATCTCATTACAAAGCATCTTTACAAGGCGGAGTGTGCGACTAGCGATCGAATATAGATTTAGACTACAGACAATTATAATTTGGTTAGATTCTTTAAGCGTACAGCAACATATAACAATATAAAACATAAGTAAAAAGCAATATCTGATATTTTAAGGGATGCCCGCATTTGAGGTGGTGCTTGTTCTATCGCTGACGTTTTTAAATACCCATGAGGTACCTTGCTTGTGATCACGCAGCTCGATTCCATGTTTCTGTAGAAGATGCCTTAAGTCATCGCAAACGCGCAACAATTGCACATTCTTGGCGCCTACACCCTCTTCACGCAGCTTGCCACGCATGGCTACCACATCGCCCAGCAGAGCATTTACATCCATCCCAAGAGTCGTGTTGAGTTGTTGATCGTGCTCTAGGGCTGCTTCGGTAGTATCCAGTTGCTTAATACCAAAAGTTTGCATAGCATTGCAAATAAAATTCTTAGCACCCAACAACAAATCCAGACAGTGGGCTGCATCCTGCTGGGCATCTGCTTGTTGCTCATTAATGCAGCGACTTATGCTGGACATTTGATCTATGAGCACATTAATGGCGCGTGCCGTATCGAAATCATCGCGCAGACTGGTATCAAATTCGGTGACCGTGAACTTCAGTTGAGCCTTCAATGCAACCTCGTCCAGCAACTTGAGAGGCTTTAGGAATCGCGTATATGCGTTCAAGTCGGCATGAAAATCCCGGAATTTCTGCAGCGTTTGGCGAGCGGTTATCATTAGTTGATCACTAAATGTCATTGGACTGCGATATTTGGACAGCAGGCAAGCCATGCGGAACTCATCGGCGGTGTATTTCTCCAGCAGCTGAGATACAGAAATGGTGTTCCCAAGGGACTTCGACATTTTCACATCCTGTCCTTGCACATGTAATTGGCCTGTGTGTAACCAATAGTTTACCCACTGGTCGGTGTTAAATCGTGCACAGCACTGAGCCTCCTCATTTTCGTGATGTGGGAAACGTAAGTCCAGACCGCCGGCATGGAAGTCGAGGTGTTGGCCAAAGAAAAGGCCAGCAATTGCGCTACATTCAATGTGCCAGCCTGGCCGCCCTTCGCCACCCCAAGGTGCAGGCCAACTGGGCTCATCCGCGTCCTTTTTCGCCTTCCAAAGTGCAAAGTCGGCAGCATTACTCTTATTGCTTTCCAGAAGTTGTTGCTGTTCGTTCACACTCATGTTTATCTTTTCCAGCTTACCATAGTATGGATACTTGGTGACATCGAAGTAGACCGAGTGATCTTCCGTGACATAAGCCATCTTATTGTTTAGGAGATCGAGTATGAAAAGCACTATGGCAGGTATATTATTTGTCACATTAGTGCGAAAATCTGGCGGTTGCACGTTTAAGCGTCGCATGTCCTCCTTAAACTCTGCATCATAGGCGCTAGTCAATTGCTTCCAATCTCGACCGGTCTCACGGCTGCGCTTGATAATCTTATCATCGACATCGGTTATATTCATGGCCGTGACTAGATTTATTTTAAAGTAGTCGCGCATTATGCGCTGTAAAATGTCAACCTTAACATAAGTGCTGGCATGACCCAAATGTGCCGAATCATAAACTGTGGGTCCACACGTGTACCAGGTGGCAAAATGTGGATTCCTAAACACTAGAGGCACTTTGCTTCGTAAGCTGTGGTTATAAATTGTAATACCTGTGTATTCACCAATTGGCTTGCGCCAACTGTATCTAGAGGAGGCTTCTCCAGAGCTAAAAGAGCCCAAGCCAGGAACTGTGCTGCTCCAGCGACTGTGAAAAACAACTTGCCGGCATTTTTTAAGAATGCGATTGCTGGAAATAGAGTATACAATCACTATATTTGTATGCATTTGCATAAATTACTTACGTAGTCATCATAATGTGTACGTTAAATAAATACATTTTATTCCAAAAATACAGAAAACATTGAATTCATGTTCATCTTATCTGCAGTTTGTTTTGAGTTGTCAAATCAGCTGTGATAAGTGCGTAGCAGCCAGCTTTTGTTACACGCCAACTTTACGAAATTTTCAGCACTAGCTACGGGTTTTTTTAAATATAGGGGAAATCACCGATGCATTCAATTAGACTTCATTGCAAAAACCCATTTAAGTGTTGGAATTTCCGTTTTATATCCTGTTCCAGAGGAGTGAAGGAATAAATATAAAATATAAAAATAAAAATATATGGTCGCGGCCTATGACAATTAAGGAATACAATTTTTTATGAGACTCGACGAAGGACAAATGGCCTAGGCGCGGACAAAGATAACCTTTCACGTCGTTAAATATTTTATGTATCGCCATTTATGCACATAAGTATGTATATACATACATATACTTGTATGTACATATGTGTAGCCATAAATATGAAATTTGAATTTTGTTTGCTTATAGAAATGGAGGAGTGCAATAATTGCTCTTCAATTGGCTGCATGTTGTTCCTTTGAAAATATTCATTTATTTTGTTTGTAAATTGTTTATTTAGTTACAATTAGGTTTACTAAAATTAACTATAAATATGCTTTATTATTGCAAAACTACGTGTATGTATAACTATTTATTTATCTAAAAAACGTACATAGGAAAAATAAACAAATCATATACACACTTTACTGAGGCACTTTTTGGTGTTTATAACAATTTAAAACAACTGTCTTTTAAATTACAATTAGAAATTGATTGTAATTGTTAATGATGCCTATGTAAAAAAATGTATTATGCATTACACACTGACTATTTACATTTATGACTCTAAGATTGTTAAATTAAATATGTATAGTATGCTGTCAATATTTATTTAATCTTAAATAAAACCGTTTTCGGGAAGTTTGCAAAATTTGGCACACGGAATATTAAATTGCGTTGTATAGATTTTAAATAGATATGCATGGAATATGATTTAATTAAAAGGCTTATATTTATACGTTTGCTTTTGAATTGCAGTCTATTATTGCGTATTATGAATAATTTACTTATGTTTTTCGATAGATTTCGTCTGGCAAATAAAGAAAATGCTGGCAAATACTTAGCGAGATCGTAATACATGTAAAACTTTATAAACTAAATTATTTACACACTTGGGGGACGAATGGATCGGATGCTAGGATCTGGAACCAAACAAAATCTCACGTTACAAATAGTTAAAGCCTTAAATGACCAATAAACACACAGATATATTTACAATAGTACAAGTATTACGAGTAGTAGTGGTAGTAAAATTGAAGTAGTTCTAGATTAAATATAGCGGCCCTTGGAAGCAACAATGATATGTAAGGACTAACTTAAAAATGCGATTTAGTTTCCGGCTCTTCCCCACTTTGGCTCTTACATGTAAAACTCGAAATGTTACGTAAAGCCGCGACTAGGCGACTGCACGGGCGACGGTGGCGGTGGCAGCGGAGAGAAGTAGGTAGAGGAGCGTGACGATGGCGATGGCGGACACGAGGATTCGGGCACAATGCGCACATCACTGTGGTAATGCGATCGCGGTGTGGGGGGCGGCGGATAAGGTTCGCTATCGTAACCATATTGCAGGCAAACTGCAGCCGAAGATGAGGATAGCTTTGTTGCACCACCGTTGCTATTATTGCTATTCGACTTGCTGGTATAATTGGAGTCCGACTCGTCGCAAATGTCCGTGGAGCAGGGAGTGGGCGGTGGCGGCTGATTGATGATCTTATAGTGACGATATGGACGCCGGGAGCGCGTTGCTGGCGACGGAGGCGGGTTGATGGGATACGCTACCATGCTGCTGCCATTTGTTGTGGAGCTGGAGGCACCGGTGATGTGATTTCTATCGTAGGAGTTCATACTATTGCGCGAGTTAAGCGTCGACATGCGCACCGCATCCGCCACGGATGCAATTTTAGAGACGCGCTGCGATTTGCTCAGCGTAGAGGGTGACAACGGATCTGAGGCCTGGTCATCCTTGGGTTCGGTGCGACTTTTACCAATGCGTGTGCGACAAAACTGCAGCAGGTAAACAATTGAGAATATGGTAATCATGGTGGCGCCAATTAAAATCATAAAGGCCCGCTTATCTGAGGCGGGCGCCATGCGACGCTGCATGCAAATATCCGGTGATTCGTCAGCACCATCAGCGCAATTATCCCAATCATCGCACAGTAGGGCAGCCGATATGCAGATCTATCCATAGATTGGTTTTTATTACTGATAAACGCTGATTGGATTAAGTTTGGACTCACCTTATTGATGGGGCACTGAAACTCGCCGGGTCGCTTGCAGCAATCGGCTTCGTCATGTCCATTTGCACAGTTTGTGGTGCCATCGCAGACCAGCGACTTGTCGATGCATTCACCAGACTGGCAGCTAAACTGATCGGCGCGACATGTGGGACAGCCCACCTCATCTGATTTGTCGGGACAATCGTTTTGGCCATCGCATCGCCAGGAAGCGGGTATACAGTCCTTGTTCATGTTACTGTTGCCCGTCACGGAAGCGGCGCACGTGAAATGATCCGGTCCACAAGCGGGCAAGGCACCACAATTCTCCTTGTCCTCCAGCAGCATAAGATGCTTGGGACAAGAGCAAATATCACGGGTGCGTGCCATGCCCTCGCCCGAAGCTATGCATATGTGAGAGCACTTGGTCCGGCTGTGCAGGCACGTATGATTGCGCAGCAGCTTGGCATCCGGCGTCCACACAGCTCGGATATCGGTTATCTGCGGCAGACGCTGCAACTCCGCCGTACGACGCTCTCCAGTCACTGTAATCCGTTCTACGCCTGTCTTATCGTCCAGCCAATATACAAAGCCACCCAATGCTGCAATGTTTATCACCTGCGAAATGTGCATGGAGACAAGCGTTTTCCTGGAAAATGAAGAAAGTTTTTTAAATATTCGCAAAACTATTCCACTATTCCACTCACTTGTTCTTGCCGTTGATATCCATGGCATCGATGCGCTTGCCATGCGCATAGTAAATCATATCCGATTGCTGATCCAGTGCCAGAGCTGTGACGCCTTCTAGCTTGTAGGCCAGTTCTACACGCTCGTTACCATCGACGCGTGCACGAATGATGGCCTGATGGCTGCCCACATCGGACCAGAAAAGCAGACGCTTCATGGCATGCACGGCTATGTTGCGCGGTTTCTCCGAATCGCCCTTATCAATAACGCCAATGGTTTCACCAAGAAAGCTACAATAATTAAGAAGTGTTAAAATTTTATTTAAAATTGGCCACCTCACCCATATTACCTGGTAACGTTGATGCTGTTTGAATAGGAGCATGTCCAGAAGAGCAAACGTCCAATGATATCAATAGCAATGTCGAAAGGCTGCCCGCTATTCACCAATAAACTGACCTTGGTGCCATTGGCCAGGGAGCGTTTAATACTGTGGCTACGACCTTCAATCTGCAAAAACCAAGTATGAATATTTATGTCACTAAATAGTTTAGTCTTTTCATTTTGAAGAGGTAAGGGCAATAAAAACATAGTCCTGTCCCAAATGGTTTCTTGATAAATTTTGACATTTTGAAGTGTTTGGCCATCCATCCAAAAATTGCTTAAAATGGTCGAACTTCGTCGTAAAAGTCCGCATTATTCTGTGGACTTGGATCATTTTAAATTATATTCAAGGTGGAAAGGTTAAAAGTGGAGATCAGGAAATGGAGTATTACGAACGTTCATCACAATATATTATTGCTTTCTAGGGTTCTTGAAAGAGATTTGTGAAAAAGAGACCGCTTCTGATCGTAATGGGAACATTTTCCAGTTTGCCTTTTACGCTTGGAAAATGTTTATTTTAATGGCGAGATCCGACTTGGGAAATTCTTTAATTTAACATAACACCATGCGGGTCCACATTATGATTAAAATGAATATACAAGTAGATGTCCGTTGATTGTGTAACCTACCCAGTAGATATGATGAGTGATGGGATCATAGTCGACTGCGCGTATATTTTTGCCCGACACTGGCAGCGGAATGTTGGGACAGTCCGTGGTGTTCGGTAGCAGGCGCCCAAAGCTATTTCTTTGACTAAAGATGATGTAGTTGCGTGGTGGTATGCACGAGAACCCATCCTTTGAGAGCGTATAGTGTGTGGGACAGGCGCAAGTCATACCACGCCGATTGGGAAGCGAGAGGCACAAATGCGAGCAGCCACCATTGTTTGTCTTGCAAGGATTCACACCCGTCTGTCGCTTGTCGTTGAAAATAAGTAACGATGTGATGTATGTCATGCCGGAATGTACCAGACTACGGTTCTGTCCAGTTATTTTGTGCACCCGTTCAATATCTCCAGTATTCCAGTCGCTCCAGTAGACGTAATCCTGATACAAGGACACTGCGTACGGCTCATCAATATCACTGCTCACCAACACTTGTCGCTTCTTGCCGTCCCAGTCGGCGCTTTCGATTTTCGCCGGCCGGGATTGGGTGGCCCAGTACAGTCTTCGTGTGTCCTGATCGAGGGTCAATACTGTCGCATGATTAGCGCCCGCTATGATAGTTTGCAGTTCGGAGCCATCCATTGCTGCCCGGCGTATGGAATCCGACGGTGATTCCGTCCAGTACATGTAACCCCGCTTGGGCTCCAGCACTAGTGAGCGCGGCTCTTCTACACCCTTCCACAGCAGCACTCGGCGACTGCTACCATCCAGACGTGCTACCTCTATGCGTCGCGCCTCTGCATCGGTCCAGTATATATTATGACCCATCCAGTCTACGGCGATTCCATCGGGACCTATTAGGCCGGAGTCTATAATACGCTGCACATAAGAGCCGTTGAGGAAAGCACGATAGATGCATTTTGATTTCTGATCTGTCCAATATATACGTCGTTCCGCCACCACCACATCCAGGGCATGCGCATCGCGCACATCTTTGAATGGAATGCGCTCGTCATTGTGGTTTCCCTCATTGTACTCAATGGAAATGCGTCCAATGTGCTCCTGCCGTGAGAAGAGCAGGAAGGCAGCTGGCACAACACAGGTCCGTTTGTCATTGGCTAACTCGAAGTCGATAGCACACCGGCAGACATAGTCGCGGGGACGATTTAGGCACAGGTGTGAGCAGCCACCGTTGCGAACAGCGCAGGCATTGTGGCCACGCACCTCACGCAATCGGGTTACCTTCAGGCCCATGAGATCTGGATACTGGTCCACCACCACAATCCGATTATTTCCAGTTATTTTGTGGGCTCGGTCAATGGAGCGACGCTGCCAATCTGTCCAGTAGAGATAATCATCAAGTATGCTGAGCCCAAATAGGTGCTTCAGATTATCGCTGATTACGACGCGTCGATCCGAGCCATCCATATTGGCCATTTCTAGTTTGTCTGTCTTGCCATCGCACCAGTAAATCGTTTTAGCCTCAATGTCCAGGGCTATGCCATTGGGCCAACCCAAATTCTCCGACACAAGAACCACACGCTCCGATCCATCGAGTGAGGCACGCTCCACCTTCGGCTTGCGCTCGTTCCAATCACTCCAAAACATCCAGCCGAGAGATGGTGCAACCGCTATTGCTCTTGGCTCTTCCAAATGCTCATAAATGAGCACCTTGCGTGCCGAACCGTCCAACCGGCACACCTCAATGCGGTCCGTTACCGTATCTGTCCAATATAAATTACGTGCGAGCCAATCTAAGGCCAACCCATCCGGATGACGCACCTCTGAAGTCACGAAATCGGTTACACCAGTACCATCGGCATGGGCACGTCTTATGGTATAGGCCTCCACATCGGACCAATAGATATGCTCCTCTACGGGATCATAGTCAATAGCAATTGCATATTTCACTTTCCCCAAGGACAGTGGAAATATTGTATAATCTGGTGAGTCGAGGGAGATTTTGCTAATCTGTGTGCGTTGCACTATGAAGAGCATCTCCTGGGACCCATTCGCACAGGTGGTGGGTGAGATGAGCTTTACACCAGTGGGACAAGCACAGCTAAAGCCCTGAGAATTGGCGGCCAGCAGACACAAATGCGAGCAGTTCCCATTGTTATGAGCACAGGGATTGTCCTCGTAGGGCTGGAGCGCTGCATCCCAGGCACGCACTGAGTTGGGGGCTTTTGGAGTATCAATTAGCTCCTTCAGTTCGCGAGAGTTCAAGTCTAAGGCATTTAGCGAACCTCGCGACCAATCTGTCCAATATAGGCGATTGTCGAAATAAGTTACGCTAAACGGATACTTCAGATTGTTGACAATGGTTCTTCGATTGCTGCCGTCAAGCTTCATCACGTCGATGAATCGGTGTTTTCCATCTGTCCAATAGATTAGCTCACTTTTCAGATCCACGGCAAGGCCGTTGGGCCAGTACACATTGTCCTTGACCAGGGTCATGCGTGTGAGGGGATCTCCATCCATACTCGCGCGTTCGATTTTCGGATATTCACCCCAATCCGTCCAAATGAGGAGTCGCTTTGCCGGCACAACGGCTATGGCTCGAGGTTGATCCAAATCTGTCCAGAAGAGCACTTTCTGGTATTTGCCGTTGAGTGTGGCAACTTCAATACGATTCTTCTCCCCATCAGTCCAATAGATCTTGTCCGTATACCAATCAATGGCCAGGCCCTCTGGTTTGTCCAAGCCCGTCGATATCACAGTTTGTTTGGGCGCCTTGGCCAACGGCAGCGTGATGTTGGTTTGCGCACACTCGATTATCTCACGACCGCAATCGGTCCAACAGACCAAATTCTTGGCATAGTAGAAATCAATGGCCATTGCCTCGGCCAAATCCTTCACAATGACATCAATTTGTGGTCCACCCGTGGGTTTTGTAATGTTCGCCACCTGAATGTCATGACGTGTCGTGTAGAGTAGCGTCGCCGGCGTGTTGATGAATGTATTGGAAGACGTCGATATCAGCGAAGATGAGGCGGGAGTGTGCACTGTAATTAGAGTCAAAAAGTTCATTTTATTAATAACTTTCCCATGTAATATTAATACCTAAGAGTAGAAATATTTTTGAAAGCGTTTGATGGAAAGTTTGAGGAAACAATGAAGCTAAAAAGTACACTAAACACTCTGTCTTCTATAAAACAAAATGTTGTTTCCCAAATGGCCATTTATCTAATTGACATTTCATCATCTCTGGTCAAGGTATCAGTTAAGAGTATTATCGGCGCTGAATCGCCAAAAGAACCTCTGGATTTGAAATGTTCAAAGCTAGCAACTTTTGGCGGGTCATAAATCTGCCTAATTGGCAAGCCATTAATCTGGCAAATCAGCTTGGGCTGTACACTCAACACCCGTTTTAAATAAGTCTCACAATTAAATACATTACTTAATTCATTGGGGACTGTTCACAGTGGGCGTTTTTGTTGGCGCAAGCCCACGCACCCCTTCCCAAGAGTGCAAAAAAGCCATCAAGAATTAAATAGGAAAAATATGCGGGCATGCCGTCCTCGAGTGCTTAACAATATGCCTCACCAGAAGCAGCAACAACAATAACAACAACAACAACAGCAACCGTGCCAGGGCAGGCAACGTTGTTAGTTCTTCTTGTCGTTGTTGTTGTTGCTGTAGTAGTGCATAAATGCAAATTGCAACAACTAAGCGCGCCGTCAGCGTAGGTGGGTGACTTGCTTAAGCTTTTGTTTACATTTGTATAGGCTCAGGCGTGCGTGTGCGTGAGTGTGTGTGAGTGTGTGTGAGTGGGTGCACTCACAACTGCTAACTGCAACGGCAACTGCAGCTGCATGCATGATCTAATTGCGTATGAATAAGCGCACATGTTGGGAAAAATAACAAAAATTGTATAGAAATCTGTTGTGCATGGCATACTTGTACAACGAACGTGTAATGCCCTAGTAAGGGCGTAGTACCATAAATAACTACCCTTACATCTACTGTGCAAAATGCAAGAAAGGCCCTAGTTTGTTTTGTTTGGCTTTTAAGAAATTCGTGTGATCCACATCGTCGTACACATTTGAAAACAATAACAAAAAGCTCGCATTTTTGAAAAGAAGGAATAGCAAGAATGCTATAAAATACAAAGGCGTGTTAAGGTTGGTCTGTGCCTGAGGTATTCCTGCCGAGCTGCGTCCTCCATCCCTTTCGTATCGATATCGTTTTTCGTTAGATTCGTAATAGGGCTACATATTCGATATTAAAGAGGAAAAGAAACGTCGCACATGGACAACTATGACTAACTTGAAAAATGAAGTGCATTACAATAAAGTCATATTTGTAGCAAAACTTTAACTTTTAATAATGTTTATGGTACGAATATTTTATGCCGAATTAGCAATATTTTTGAGTGCACACACAAAAATGTTGGTCTCTGTTTTCAGTTTAATGCTGATTTCTGATAATAGGACCAATGTCTGCATCTTTAAAAACTGACGAAACTTAACTCAAGTTAAGTTGCATCAGAAATATGCGCATACAAATGCATACAAGTATATGAGATGCGCCTAGACACAATGGGCTAGAAAAAAAAAATCACCAATGCTGCTGAAGCTGCCAAGTCATGGTTGAATGGTTGCTTGGTTGAATGATACTTGCATTAACGTTAAAATCCTTGTAAATAATTTACATTTTTATGCCTGCATGTGTGCCTCCGCAGGCTGCAGTGAAGCGTTAAGAAATCACAACATCATTACTAACAACAACAGTAGCAGTGGCAGTTGCAGTGGCAGAGGCAGCGGTTACGACGACGTGGCGCAGACATCTCATCAACTCAAGTACCGAGGGCAGCATAAGCCCCCAGACTGAGATAGTGGGAGAAGAGAGCGCGAGCGCGAGCGCACCTTCCGCATGCTGCATACTCGACCGAAATTGAAATGCAGCTGGAGAGGCAGAGCAATACGAGTACAACCCAACCCGTTGGCTGCCAGGATGCCAGGCTGCCAGGCCAGGCTACCAACAAACCAACCAGCCAGCTTGCTGCTCCATTCAAACTTGGGGAAAATATATTTTAATTATTAATGTATACACAAGCTTGGGTGCATTCCAGGGGTAGGTGGCTGGAGCTTTAGTTGCATTTAAATGGGCAACCGGCGGACGCACGCTCGGATACGGATGCGCATACATTGCACGTGGATGGATGGAAGGTTGTTTGATGATCATTATTATGTTGATGATGATGTTTTGTTGACGGTTGGTTGCTTGCTTGTGGCAAAATGGCATAATTTGGATGACCGAGTCGACAATTTCAACGCCCACTAGATGCACTGCAGCCGCTCGAGCAGCAGCTGCCAGCTCTGACTAAGCACATGAAAAACTATAGAAATGAGAGGCAGCGGTAAAAACAACAACAACTACACTTAAATGCTAAATGAGTGCAAGTGCTGTTATTGTTAGAACTGAGAGGGGCAGGGCAGCATTGGCTGTGGCCCTCGCAAACTTTAAGTGAGCATTGGGTATACACTCACTCACACACACACACACACACAGCTTAAGCATACAGGATGTTGCCACTCTGGCAGTTGGCAGTGCTGCCCCTGCTTGGCAATCCAGCCTCGCTGAGTAGCAGCATTATGTCGGCTCCCATAATGCCCTGGAGGCGGGCAAAAAGGAGGGCACACCGTTGTCTCAATGCTGTGCGCCAGTTGCAACGGAAGTTGCAGCTATTTAAATGTGTTGAAGTTGGTTGGCTAAATAGGCAGCGAGCGTGCCATCCTGCCATCCTACTACCACCCTACCACACTGCCATACAGCCAAGCTCTTGCCTACTGCCTGCTGGCTGCCAACTAGTCAACGGCTCGTTGTGCTTAGCAGTCTTGTTGTTGGTGCTGCTGCTGCTGCTTCTGCTTCTACTTCTACTGTTGTTGTTTTTTGTTGCTCTCATTTTTTATTTGCCATCCGCTGTTGTTTTTGTTGGCTGTCGCTTGAAGGACAAAATGCTGGAGGTTTGTGGGTGCTAATATTACACTGAAAGAAACAGTCAATAGCAACATTTAGCTGATTGCTATAGCACTCTACATTATAAATGAAACGAAAATTACATACAAATCAACACCAAAATTTTATCTGCGAAATATTTATTGCTTCCTTGGCAGTAGAAGGATTATATTTGATTTCAACAAGAGAGAACGCTACAGTCGAGCAAGCCCGACAGTGTAATACCCTGTACCCAGGTAAACTTCCGTCACTGAGTTATATGCGCCCATAGCAGCAGCAAAAAGAGGAAGAAGAAGAACGAACTTGTTGCTGCAGTTTGTGGGGGTTGTACTGGCGAGAATTTGTTTCGCTAATAACTTTTCTTAGAATTGACCGAATTGAATAAAATTTTATACAACAGTAGACAATTATATATTAATTATGTGTGCAAAGTTTGGTTTAGGTAGCATTTGAAATGTGGACGCTATTGACGAAATTCTGTAGCGGGGGAAGGGGGGAAAAATTCCAAAAAAAAAAATAAACTCGTCCTTTCTCGGACCTAGGGGAATCTGGATGCCAACTTTGGTTATTCTAGCTTTTATAGTTTCTGAGATCCTCGCGTTCATCCAGACGGACGGACAGACGGACAGACGGACGGACAGACGGACAGACGGACGGACATGTCTAGATCGATTTCTCTCGTCATGCTGATCAAGAATATATATACTTTATGGGGTCGGAGATGCTTCCTTCTGTATGTTACATACTTTGCACAAACCTAATATACCCTTTTTACCCTACGGGTACAGGGTATAAAAATAAATACACTAGAAATTTCCACTTCACAGTAGCGAATATCCATGCTTAGAAATTGAACCAAATGAGTATTTTAAACAAGAAAGGAATGCTAAAGTCGAGCAGGCTCAACTCTTAAATACCCTGTACCACCCCACAAAAAAATAAATAAATAAATTAAATTAATTCATTAATTTAATTTAATAAATTAATTTAATTCATCGGGAAAAATGAACAAACTCGTCCTTTCTCAGGAGAATCTGTATACCAAGTTTGGTTATTCTAGCTCTTATACTTTCTGAGATCCTTGCGTTCATACAGACGGACGGACGGACAAACAGACGGACATGGCTATATCGACTCGTCTTCTCATCCTGATCAAGAATATATATACTTTGTGGGGTCTGCCACGCCTCCTTCTGCCTGTTACATACATTCGCACAAAACTAGTATACCCTTTCACCCTTTGGGTACAGGGTATAAAAAATGTTTGACATTGAAAATTTAACTTTAAATAATAGAGATTTCTGTTTCCCAAATAAACCCAGAATCTTGTATATTAGAATTAATGCCGCTTCTTTGTTGTTTGTAGTCAAAAATCTTTTAATCGGCTTAAGATACTATACATATATGTATATAAATAAATATATATATATAAAATATATATATGTCATTCCATAACGGAAGCAAGCCCAACTAAATAGCAACAAAAACGCTGTCTTCTCTCTCCTGTGTGTGTTCTGCTAATGCCTCTCCACTACCAATTTTGTACAGTGTAGCCCAGCCCTATGTTGAAATGGCGCCATAATTAATTTTGCTCATGAATAAATTTTAATTAAATGTACGAAGCTGAATTTGCGCCGCCACAAAAAAGTTGAATTAAAAATAAAAAAGAAAAGAAAGCAGCACAGAAAATAAGCAATAAAATAACTTTGAAAAGCTGAAATACAAGTAAGTATGCTTTAGTATGTGCCCTTTTTTAAACACACTATAAATAAGTATGTGTGACACTGCGCGACTACTATGTAGCCCGCCAGAGCCATGCCTTCTGGCACTCACAATACCAATTGAACAAAATATGCCAAGCGAGGGGGTTGGAGTAGCTCCTGTCTGCCAATACTTGTTTGTGGGTGCTCCTGCGCTGCTGAAGTGGCACACGTTGCGAGGGCATTCGGGAAAGGAACCAGATTTCAGCTAGACAAAGCATAAATAATTCTAGGATGGTTCAGATTGTCGCAACTAAAACCAGTCGAAACATACGATTTGATTT